AAAAGTCAAATTGGACAATAATTTTGGGACAAAATTTTTTGGGCAAAGTGGACAATAATTATGGGACGGAGGGAGTAGCAAATAGCGCTTAGTATCAGACTTAAAACGCATGAGAAATACCCATGTAGCTCTACTATAATCATCAACAATCGTAAGAAAATAATGAGCGCCAAATTTGGATGTTGTAGGATACGGACCCCAAACATCGCAATGGACTAAATCAAAACCTTTCGTGCTTTTATTCTGATGTAAAGGAAAAGGTAATGTAGTGTGCTTTGCTCGACAACATGCATCACAAACAGAAGTGTTCGTATTATTATGAAAAGAAACAGAAATGCTCGGAATCAAAGAAAGCCTATTGACCGGTAATTGCCCAAGACGATGATGCCAGAGAGTTGCCGTGTTGCCTTTGGTCGCAGACAAAATTCGTTGTTCGCCACCAGCCCTCATCGGATAGTACAATCCATCGTGCATTTTACCCATTTCAATCAGCTTTCTCGAGGTTAAATCCTGTATAAAAAAATAAATCAGGACTAAATGTGAAGAAACAATTCAAATGTCGAGTTAATCGGCTGACGGAAATCAAATTAAACTGAAAATTGGGCACCCCAAAACATGATCAAGAACCAAATTATCATCAATTTTAATTCTTCCAATTGCTCGAACGGGAACATTGTCACCATTAGGAACCTGGACACACATTGAATCAGAGGGAATGATAACATCCCGCATAGAATGCAACTTGTTGGAAGCGTGATCGGTGGCGCCCGAATCACACGCCCAATCGTTGGCCTTACCCATCGATGAGACCTAATTGGCATTGGAGGACTTGGTCGCTGTGTCGGAAGTAGTTTGCTGTCCAAGCATCTGGAAGAGTTGCTGAAGTTGGCCAGCCGACAAAGTTGATAAGGGCACTGGAGGTGGTGGAGGCAAAGACTTAGTAGCAGCAGCGAGTGTGGACACCGGAGGAACGCTGCGTGGGCGAGGTTGCTGATCCCGTCGTTGCCGTGGTTGGCGCCAGCCCAGGGGATATCCAGTTAACTCATAACAGCTCTCCTTATTATGATTATCATGGCCACAATTGCTGCAATGGAGCTTGGAACGGCCAGAATCATGGCCATCACGGCCGTCTCGTCGGTTCGGACTCGATTTTACAGCCAACGTGGCAGCTTCAAGGACGGGAAGCCGAGAATCTGCAATCCGATGCTGCTTCTCATCGGCGGCGACAATGGCGTAAGCAGGGCCAAGTGTGGGAAGTAGATCGATGCTCAGAATTTGTGATCGAACCGTCTTATAGGTGTCGTCCAGTTCCATCAGAAAATCGTACACCTTCTCTTCTTCGTGCAGTAGCTGGAGTTGGTGATTGAGATCACACTTGCAACCACCGCAAGAACAAGCCGGAAAAGAGTGAAGGTTCTGTAATTCGCTTCATATGCCTTTCAGCCGGCTATAATCCGTTGATGTCAGAGACTTTTCTTGCTGGAGAAGAGCAATGGATCTCTTTAATTCGTACACACGAGGAGCAAGTCCTTGAGTGAACCGTTCATCAAAATCCAGCCAAATTGCCCTAGCTGTTGGAGTATGCGTGGCCTCAGTTTCCAGCTCCTTACAAACCGAATTGAGGATCCACGACTTAATCAGGGCATTGCATTGAACCCATTGGGCGAATTCAGCAGAGCCGACAGCAGTCTGTTTAACAATGCCGTCGACGAAGCCGGCCTTATTCTTCGATTGGAGAGCATTGAGGAGACTGCTCCGCCAAGTAAAAAAGTTATCGCCGGATTCAGCAAGGGGTTGAGTAACAAAAATCAATCCCGGATGGTCAGAGGGATGAACGTAGTGCGAAGACTGGGGATCAACCGTAGCAGAAGGAGAAGCAACTTTGTTACCCATGGCTGAATATCAAAATTGGCGACCAAAAAAGAAGATGAAATCAGTGGCCAAAAAGAAGCAAAACTGGCGGCCGAAAGAAAGAGGAAATCGGCTGCCAAAAATTGAGAGTTTATCTATTTTTATTCTTTGATTGGATTAGAGTGATAGAACTATTCGGATAATGTTAGTTTTTAATAAAGAAATAATGACTAAAATGAATTGTGTGAGTAAGTGCATGTGGATGTGACTCGATTATCGTGTGGAGTGTGAGAGACTGGGAGTTGTTGTCTGAGGTATTCACTGGCTATTAGTTCATCCCAATAATTTTTCCACCACAGTTTAGCAAGTAAGCCAAGTTTCTGTAAAGCTTTGGCGTGCAAAAGAAATAATCATTTCGCTGTTTTTTAATCTAAATTATTTGAGACTTAAATTGTATTAGAATTTATTTACTCTAACTTGTACATGATTGTATTAAATTTTGGAAACATCTTTTGTCTTCCGCTGTGAAAATTTAGAAATTTGAACATGTAATAGTTTTAATTAGTTCTGTTCCACCGCCGCATTGTTGGTCGCCTTTTGTACTTGACTAGAACTCGTCCTGGTATTGCTTATGCGGTCCATATTCTTAGTCAGTTTATGCATCGACCATGCAAGCAACATTTTGATGCAGCACTACGAGTTTTGTGCTATTTAAAAGCAGCACCAAGGAAGGGCATCATCCTCCCATCTAATAGTTCCTTGCAACTGCGTGCTTATTGTGATGCAGATTGGGCTGGGTGTCCTACCACTCCACAATCTACCACTGGATACATTGTGCTTTTGGGTTCTTCTCCTATTTCATGGCGATCAAAGAAGCAGAGTTTCTCGTTCTATAGCAGAGGCAAAATATAGAGCTATGGCAGTTACCACTAGTGAATTGGTATGGCTTGTTCGTCTCTTGAAGGAATTACAAGTACCCTTGGAACATCCAGTTCCTTTATTCTGTGATAATCAAGCAGCACTTCATATTGCAGCAAATCAAGTCCTCATGAGCGCACGAAACATATAGAGATAGATTATCATTTTATACGGCATCATTTTCAGTCGAAGTTACTTGTGCCTCGTCCTATCTCTTCTGTGTTACAACTAGCTGATCTCTTTACAAAAGCCTTAGGCCGTGATCAATTTTATATATTGTTAGGCAAGTTTGGCATTACAGATTTACATGCTCCAATTTGAGGGGGAGTAAAGACGTAACTTGTAAATTTGTATAGTTACGGCTAGGGTTTATTATTTACAGCTAGGGTTTCTTGTTTACGAAGTCATTCATATTGTATAAATACCACACGATTGTGTCAATAAAATCATTAGTTGATCATTGTCTTTACTGTCTATTATATATGGATTGAACGAAATGAAAGAAAGTTTGGTTCAAGAAAGCTAACTAAAGATGATAGGTTTGCAATGATAGTGCAGGAAATTACATGGAAAATTCAGATTTTTTGTGAAACATGCAGTAATAACGACATACGATACTTGATACAAATAGGCCTTAAGAAATAGCTGATTTTGTAATAGAGTAGACCTTGATGTACAGAAACTCGGTTGGAAGTAATGCAATTTGCCTTTTATTAAAGAAAAAAAAGAATAAGATAAAAGTGAAGTTTGAATAAGACTCGCGGATTTTACTTTATTTTATTTTTGTTAAATGGAATGTCAAAATATTAAAATATACAAGAGCCAAAATTATTGCAGGTTAGTAACTTTTCAAAAACTGAAATCTTACAAGTATGATGATGTAGAGTGATATGATGTTAATGATGAAAATGAAGATATAATAAGATCTATCGGAAGACGGGTATTTCATAATTAGATAACATTAACGAAGAATTTCTCTTTGAATAAGTAAGTAGTGATTGGTTTTTTTTTTTTTTTTGTTTCAATGGGCCATAAAAAATACTAAAATAACAGCTAAATCTATTGCAAGTTTTTAACCTGTCAAAGAATTAGAATCTTTTAAGAAGGACGTTATAGAGTGAAATACTGTTAAAGATGAAAATGAAGATGGAATGAGACTGGTTAGAAGACAAGTAAATAGTGATTTTTTCTTTTTTTTTTCTTTGGTTGAGTGGACTATCTAGATCATCTATATTTTCTAACACTCGAATTTTCATTAATGAGGTACTATGTTATGAATAAAGGAATATATTTATTGTGTGATCGTTTCCATTAATATCTAAAAGTTCCACTTAAAAAAAATTATATATATATGTATAGTTAAAATTGATTAATTTTTTTAATAATTATCATCTAAACACCGTGCAGCGCACAGGTACATACTAGTTTTCTTCAATTATTTTAAGGTTTTTTTGGGCAACATTTTGTTTTCATTTTTGATTTGGAATTAGGAGAAAATTTAAAATGTGGTTTGAGTGAAAAATTAAAAAGTTGTTTGGGAGATATTTTAAATAAAATAATACTTTTTTCCAACCAACGGACCGCGTCAAACTATTATTGAACTATTGAAACATCACTAAACACATTACTAAACTACTGAAAAGTCTTTATTTTGGTCATTAAACTATTGCAAAGTCTTGAGTTTGGTCACTGAACTATTTATAATTTCATAAAAGATCACTACACTAAAATAATTATAAATTTTAAATTTTAAAATACAAATTAAATGGTTGTATGAACCAGTTATTTATTTTGCATTGGATTTTGTGTTTGAGTGAGAATTTTTTTTGTTTTTTTTTGGCGTTTGAAATGGTGGCCAAACATCACCATAAATTCTCCCGCATAATAATTCACCTAAAAGGCTAAAACACACAATAGTTTTGTCATTTTCCCGCTCTAGTGATTTCGAGGAGCATGAACTTTCCCAAATAATGCCTTATTAGGAAATAATTTCAGAAGTTCTAACAATAAACAGGGAAAAATTTCCTCAAACCTCTCCAAACAGCCTTACACCCTATAAGATATTTCTAAATTCAACGGACAAAATTTTGAATTGAATCCCGGTGAATTCCGGTGAGTCGGTGTGGGGCCGCCGGTCTAATTTGAAATTTTGATTTCGTTGTTCGAAAGGCAGGAATTCAAGCTGAAACTTACTTTAACAATCGCCGAAACTCTGTAGCTTCCTGGCAAATATGTACCCAAAAGGCTACGAGAGCCTTTCTGGTAAGAATCATCATTCATTTCTACTCTTATCAATCTGCTTTCTGATTTTTCCAATTCTAGCCGCTGAAATTTGCTATAATAGCTTTCCTTTTTTTTTTTCTAAAGAATTTTACTTGATTGAATGTACAATGCAGAAGAAGAAGAATATTTGAGCCAAGACTCCCCACGAAATCATGCTATCCCTTTGAGCGGCCTTTTCGATAATAAGGTTATCATTCCATGGAAGAATTACATTTGATGGTTGAATTTTTATTTCAATTTCCGATAAGTTGATGTCGTTATTCAATTTTTTGAAGGGTCATGAGATACAAGTCCTTTCAGAGCTAGAAAAACTTCAAAAACGTAATTTCTTTTTCTTTTCTTTTTTTTTTCCCTTTTCTGGCTTGAATATTGTTAGTATTACTTTTTGTTTCTAATTAATTGTTGCATTTGGGACACGATTCTAGTAATTTTTTACAAATGAATGCCGTTTACTCCTACGCAGATGCATATCAGGATTATGGAACCATTAATGAGGTATGCAAGCAATTCACCTTTTTTGATCCCATGGAGATCATCCCTTTCATTTTTGTGGTAATGAGCTGGTCAGTGTAATCTACTGATTTAGAACTTTGTTTTGAACTGCTGTACCGAATTTTCGGTGTGAGATCTGTAGTGGCTGAATTTCTTTGAACAGTTGATAAAAGAATTCATGTAACTATCATGTCGAAAGGGAGGTTTTCGGGGTTCTGTTTAATAAATAACTCTTACTATAAGATGTAAGATGTGTAAACTGAGAAAGAGAGTACTAAAGTTCAATACGCTTGTTCACCCGGTCTGCTTTCTGAGAGACTTTCTATCATCAGAGTCAAAGAGCATTCTGTGTGGAAGATGAAATTGAGTGTCCCGCATTCAACCCTGAGGATGATGACATCAATCATCCAACAATAGCATCAATGCTGGACATGGATGTAAAAAGCATCCATGACCAAAGATTTGATGTGTCAACAGTCTGCTACTCAGATGAGGAAATCGTGTCTGATGATGAGGTACATTATTGTGAGTGTTGTAACTCGTATCTCATGTTAATTGAAGTTTTCTTACTCAGAACTTTTCTTACGCTTACCATTGGATCAGTGATTAAAGGTCGCCCAATTTGCAGAAAGCTACATTTACTACCAGAGAAAGTTCAAAGTTCCATGCAGAAAGAAATGTGTGGTTTAAGGCAAATGAAGAAGTTGAGGCCTCACTGCAGCTAAATGGAAATACTTGTTCGTCCTTCAAGGAATGCATTAACATCAAAGGTGCTAATATGATTTAGTTTAACCTATATTATTCTTATCTATATGCATCTGAATATTGATAAATTCTCAAGCAGTAAATGTTATGGTAAATTCTTTATTTTCTATTATTTTCTCTCTATTTTTACACGAGTCCCTTTTTTTTGGGGGGTATAAATTACATGCGTCTTTTCGTTCAACAATCTTGTGGATATAGAGTCCATCAAATATATCAGAAGTGACATGATGAGTTGCTTCTACTGGTGTCCTCATTTGTGATCAATCCGTTGTTACTTCTCTATAGCTCTGTAGCTAGAGCCCACCAAGCAATGTATGAGCACATGCACGAGCGAACAGCAGTAAGGTAGGATTTGAGTCCTTTTCTTTTTTTTTCCCCATCCCCAACAACCGCACCCCCCGGCGGGTTGTGGAGGGGAGATGCACTGAGAGTGATAAAAAAATAATGATACCTTTGTTTCAGATTTAAGATGTATTGGGTGATTTTGTCTTTGTATTGATGGCACTGCATTTCCTGGACCAACTCGTTATGCCTTTCACTACTGTTGATAAATCTAAGCAAATAAAATGGTAGTTTACTTCCTTTTTGGTCTTCCATATGAGATACACAAGTGCTTTCTCAAACTTGCAAATTTAGTCAGGATGAGATTTCATTTGCAATGCACTTCATTTCTATGGGCAATACAGCAAAAGTGCAGATGCATAACACGTTGCTGTTCTCCATTGCTGCAGATGGTAGAGAAAAATCCATGTCAAAGGTTTTTCTCCCTTTCCAACCATATAAGGAAGAGTTCCCTTTGGTTGTTGGTAATGAAAGTGATACTGATATTCTGCAAACTGGTCTTAAACCAACCAAAGACTTAGAAGGTAGTTCAAATGGAGATTTCAGGAAGTCAATGGCTGCGTCTCTGGAGATGATTGAAGGCAGAGAAGCAGAACAACTGCACAAAAATGAAGGGTTTTCTGAGAATGAGATGTACTGCAAGTTCAATAGGAACTCGGTGGCTGGTTTTCTTGATAAGTTACAAGAGAACAGTTATTACCCAAAGGGAAGTGGCAAACAGGTGATTCTCTAGTTATGGTTGTTTTCGTATTTTGTGTTTGAAAAGTTCCTTTAGCCATCATGACTCTGATGGAATTTTACTTGTAATACTCCTGTCCGGATTAGTAGATTGACTCTCTGATGGCATTTTACTTGTTATACTTGTTTTCAGATTAGTAGATTGAGAGAAAGAAAACAGTTTGGTGTCAGCAGAAACTTATCCCCTTCAAGCAGTGAAAATATTGAGGAGGAAAGCTTAATTGATGACACGCCTTCAGTTGATGATAAGGTACCTTTTTGAATGATCTTTCTTGTTACATATGTCAGAGATTGTGAAACTAACTATAGGCCGTTTCCTCATCTTCAAGCCCATCCAGCAACAAAAGACTATGTCAGATTTATTTCACGAGGCTTTAGGAGCTTTATCTCCCAACGATGTGTTGCCTGAAGTTGAGAAACATTCATTAGGGTAAGCAATAGCTACGGGTTCACTAACAAATAGCATTTATAATTTTCTCATTCTTTGTTGCGGGATGGAAGTTTATGCAGAGTTGGACTGCTTGACAAGTTGCAGCATGTGATGTTACGAGAAAAGGCAGACGATGTTGGCTTTTTGGAAAGTTCCGCTACTGATAATTTCTCAAAGGGTATTTCTAGCTGTTTGTTTTCCAATGTGTGAGATTTGTTCTTGATATCACGTCGGTGGCTTTTGTATCATAAACTTTTTAACCTTTACCGTTTCAGATGAAAAACACTGCCTTGATGTCAGAATTTTGTCAAGGTCCCTAGAGGCCAAGCATAATGTTTGTTGCTGTGCTATAATACCCAGTGAAGAGGTGTACTTGCTGTATTCTTGCTGATTCATTTTTTTAATTTTTGTCTCTACCAGCTGCTCACTTGTTAAATGTGAAGACACATTCTGAAAGTAGAATTAACAAATAGGAATCACATTTCTTTCCCGTGTTTCTCAAATTATTGGTCATGGAAAAGAAGAACGCATGATATAGTTGTGTTTGGTATGTAAAATGTTTCTTTGCTTCACACTATTGCTGAATAGGCTGGTATCAAACCATGTTTTCGTTTTCTGAACTAAAAGAAGAACGGAAATGACAATCCATAACAGAAATTAGGGAGGAAAGAAACTCAAAATAGTTGGAATACTATAGGGTCTAGTGTAAGAACAAAGTTCACACCCTATATATTCATTACTTCTAGTCATCAAGTGGCCAGGGGTAGTTGGAATACGGGATGGAACCAAACCCTTTGTTTTATTAGGAAATGAATTTATAAATAAATTAGTGTATATGTACAGGTCGGATTTGATGAAGTAATTAAAGTAAAATCTTGGGCTGACCTGGATTCTATAAGACCAAAAAGTTTCTAAAAATAAAAAAGATGATGTGGGATTCAAATGGGCACATGGGATATGTCGAAGGGCCATGGAGTATGAAGGGTTCCACAGGGTTTTGGCCTTTCGGGACACAAACCAAAAGAGGTGAACCATTATAGATCTCAGTGTAGCTTATCATTGCCATAGTAAAACATCCTTTATAATTAGAGAGGAGCATTGGACCTTTATCTTCGCAGTCCTACATACGTTCCTAGCTGGACAAATCCGAATTTGTTTATTCTTAAGAAAATATATGTTATCAAATTACCTTCTGACAGAAGTGTGAGGAATGATAACATGATATTTGCTTTCTTTGGCAGAGCACCAAATTGATGAATCCGTTGGATATGAGAAGGCTAAATGGAGAACGGACCTTCACTGTTATCTTTAGCTCAAGAATCTGTGGTGATGTAGACCTCGATGTCGGGAGTGAAATTTGTATCCAACCTCCTTGGTATGTAAACTTTTGTCAGAAGATGCTATGCAGACGTTTTTGTTTTACCTTGGATCTAGTGTAAGCTTGTGGTCAAATTTCAATTTTTTAAAAGCAAAATACACAAAGGTGGAAATGTAGCCATTTTCATCCTTTGGAAAAGGATAAAGATGAGTTTATAAATTTATGAGCTATTTCTTGATCTGTAGTTCTAGTGTCTTGAATCAACCTCAGATTTCTGGGCAGTCTAAAGAGTTCCTTGTATAGTCATCTATGTTTATGGCTTTGGTGCAGGAAGGAAGTAAGAGTACGGGGGCAAGATGGTATCATCTTATTATCAACATACTTCTCCCACATTGGTGTTTGATCACATAATTTACTGCAAAAGAAGCTGGTAGTACTACGTATAACTATGACCTCTGATCGATTAGCACAAGTTTTCATGTCGTTCCATTTGCTATTGTATCTGGGTTTTAATGAAGTCCTAACCTATGTGACCAAAGCTTCTAATTGAGAATGTAGGAGATTTGTTTAGCTGGCGGGGGCAGCATTTTACATTTTTATCTATTATTTTATTATTTTTGGTTGCCGTATTTAGCGTGCACATACCTTTTAATTTCTTCACATTTTTTTTAATTTCTTTTTTATTAATTACTTTTTTCTTATTATTGTGTTTAATATGAGTATTACACGAACCAAAAGCAGGTAGCATTTTTCATGATATTATTTGCAGTTCAAGTCACACACTGCCATAATCCATTTTTTTCCCTTCAAAGACTTGTATCATACCAAGTTAACTGAAGGTCTTAAGAGGCAAGAAGTAGCCCAGTGCACGCTTCAAAAAACAACTTTCAGATCTCAGAAGTGGCGGCAAGATCAATTCCATTGTTCGATTTGGTACATTCATACAACAGAGCGTAGCGAGCAATCTCCAACGAGATGCCCACCTGCTGTGGGGATTCAAGAGCAGGATTTGAGACATTTTGAGAGATTTGATCCAATTTATGAGATTTGATCAATGATGAATTTATGCCGCATCGAAATTAAGAAAAATTTTCCAGTTCCTACTAGACAAGAGAGATCTCTGTATGAGCGGAATTTGCTTTAATCTTCAAATGAGTTGTTAAAGATACTCGTGGAAGTGGAAAATGTAACTCTCTCCGTCTCATAATTATTGTTTAGTTTGAGATTTATTTTTAATTCAAATTATACTAAAATTAAAATTTCAAAATGGACAATAATTTTGAGATAGAAGGAGTATGTTTCAATAGAAAACTACTAGTTATACAACCAACTCTCACGAGATAACAGGTACCTTTTTTTTTATCATAAAAAAAAAAAAAAAGACTCGCGAGATAGAAACTTTTTCATCTTTCCTTCAAATAAGATTTCATCGCCGGAACATTGTGTCAGTTAAAAAAATTAAAAAAAAATAAATAAATAAAAGAAAGAGAAATGAAGAGTTAAAGATCCCAACAGTCTTTGGATAATATGAACAATTTCCCTCGGAGTATTAGAAACAAATTTAAGAGCCTAGGAATACAAAATTGAAGATTCCGAACTAATACACTATCGTTTACCTCCATAAAGGGAAAAAAAAATTTAAAAATTGCCAGAGATAATTACATGGCATCGATTACCGGTATAGTTAGGCAGGAAAATGATGTATAAAAGAAATCCAGCGAAAAACCCTAAAACTTTCCCTAGACCACCTAATCACAGCATGTCTTCTTCATCTCCACTACTAAACGACTCTACCACACTGTCATCATCATCATCCTCATCACCCTCGGTCACTATCTCCAATATTCCACCTCCGCCGTCAAAGCCTCCACCCGCCATTAAGAAATCTATTCCTTCCTCCTCATCATCCTCAAATTCACTAACGCTTTCATCATCATTGCTCATATCTTCAGCATCCTCACTTTCACCATCCTCATCTAGACCTTGCCCCAAGATGTCATCCTCGTCAACTTCCTCATCTTCATCTTCCTCCTCACTCTCTGCATCATCTGGATCAGAGTCATCATCCGTTGGCTTCCTACGACCTATTTCATATACCCTTGCGGATGAATACATCTCATCCTGATCATCCATTGTTATCAACCCAAGAAAAGAATCCGTCGGCTCTGTAGCAAAATCAAGAACACATCGATCCACTGGGATTGTGGCAATGTCGGAGTAATTAACAGCATCAACAGTTCGAAATGCAGAAAAAAGAGGATGTTTAACACGTCGTGTTTGAAATGCGGAAGTGACATCCTCAAGGTTTCTCCTAAGAATTGCATAAATCACATCACCACTGGCATTAAATGTTATCACTGTCTGATCGAGAGAAGGCACACTACGGAGAAGCCTGAAGTTTCGGAGATCCCAAACTTCAGAATTTATAATCACCTGTTAAAACATTCATCAGAATCAGTTCATACGGAATCTCTCTGCACCACACCCCCCCCCAAAAAAAAAAAAAAAGCAAAGCATACCAAGTACGAGAACTTAAATGCAGTGCTACAAATATAACAGAATACACACTAGGCCATGAATACCACATACCTCGTTGCCAGCAGGATGAAAACCACCACCACCATAATCAGAGAACTGATCGAAGCGGTGGATTGGACCAGAACCTCGAGAATCCCATAGGACACCATTCCAGAGCAGCATAGTATCTGATGGACTAAAATGCACAAGAGAATACGCGTGGCCTCGACTGGAAAAATTATTTGATGCATCTGCTAGCTTCAAACCTAGCTGATAAGTTTGTACATCATACAAGAGAATTTCCCGCTGTGATGTATCAGTTGATAACGCAACAAATTTGCTCCCTGAGTTGCTAAACCTGGCAGCTTTACAACCTTCAAATGAATGTTTGGGGCCTGCTGAAACCGAAGATCCATCCCACAGGCGCACATCATGGGAACTTGATGATAGAAGGAGCTGCGTATCTCCTGAAGTACATGACTGTACAAGGGTCAAAGGATATTGGTGGCTGGTGCAACTATCCAACACACTGTTGCTGTTGCTGTCAAATACTCTCAGTTCCCCAGAATGACCTCCGACAGCTATCCGAGAAGAATCTCCAAGGAAAGAAATGCATGTTAAGAGAGCACCACCATCATCTCGGCATGTTCGCCATGGTCTGAACCTACTATAGACAAACTGACGATCTCTACGACTCCCATGGATTCCACCATACATAAATCTAAATTCACGAGTATTGAGACGTGCTGTAACATTTGAGGGGGCATCAAGGCTTCTTCTTGGCTCGGGACAAACATGAGGATGTAAGAGTGAGAGAGGGGGTAGTGTAGTGATGGGAGCAGGGCATTGGCGATGCTGATGTTTCAGATACTGAACAACAAGTGAATCAAGAGTCAATCGTTCCGTGCAGGATGATTGGGGTTCATTAGCTAGGCCACTTTGGGATGTAGGAACCACGTGAACAGATTGACCACCATTGTTTTCGTCTGTTTCAGCTGGTGCAGAAGTTAATCCTGATCTTGGCATCGAGACCGGTGTTCCGTCAGATGGTAGCCAACTTCTCCGGGAAAAACCAGGTGTAGCACATACTGGAGACCTCTGAGCATGTTCACCTGTATTGAGTCGTTTTACAGGTGACAGTAACCCAGTCTCTTTCAAGTCTGTCAGTTTACGTTTCATTGGTAAGACAATTGGAGTTCTACATTGTGTGTCCGCATCCACACAAGCATTAGCAACAGAAAGCGAGGGAGTTTCAGGAGTACTCATTCCTGCACAAGGTCGTTTACAAGCCAAATTGCTTCTGCTGACTGACAATACCGGAGAGTCCTCGGAAGAAGTCTGAGTTTTGTGCGGCAGACTACGTGAAGAAGGTGTAGTCAGTTTCTTTTTTAAAGAAGAAAATGAAGGATCAGTTTTGGGGCAAGGTAGATTGTTCCGATAATTGAGCTTCACTTTATCTGACATAAATCCACATGGAGCTCGAGCAGATGGCCACTGAATCTGTATTGATGGGGACTCTTGCAAGGCTACCTGATGTGCTAGGGATGATGGGGCGGCTAGTGATGGCAGAGGAGTCAACTGAGCCTCCTTCAAAAGCGTTGAAGCCGTATCTCCTAAACCAGATGCTTGTAGATGCTCATGGATCAGAAGTAAAAGTTCCCTAAAATTGAGAAAGAAAAGTTCATATGCAAGAGAAACAACATGTTGATTTGGGAAATACTTGTAATCCACAAAGAACCATTGAGTAGGGAAATAAGGGGAGGAATGGTGCCAATCACCAGGAAAAAGAAAAGTTGTTCTAAATCGATACTTGCTTACAAAGATACAGATACCTGGAATGGTAGGTGATTGGAGTAGCTGCAGCTATAGCAGCCCTTTCTATACGCCTAAGTGTCGGAGTAGCAGCATCTGTTGCGGCCAAAGTATTTGCACGCCCGGAATTCGTTACAACCTGCACAAAGCTTCCTGAAAATTAGCAACTACTCACTGGAGCCAAGCAGACAACAGATTCTAATCCTACTCTTTCACTAAAAACCTTACAAGATACCACCCAACTGCCGATTACACAACTGAAAATGTGATCATGCAAAAGGCAACGTCAAAAGCAGAGAAATCAAAAAGACAAAACAATTGAAATGACTTCCATTCTCTAGATACTCCAACTGTTGAGGGGCAATACATCTCACTATAAAGACAACTCCAAATTAAAGACACCGGAGACCTCATTTTACCGGATTCCAATTTTACTGCAGTATGCATTTACTATGCATTTATAAACCAAGCAAGGAACAGATAGCTATTTGTTCTCTGCCAAGCTGAAACCTCATATTCATAGGTGAAATAACCCCAGTATCTGACATTAAAATCTATTGAGTAACAAACGAACTTCAGAGAACACACATCCTGGTTCAAAACTTGATCAGTGAAGAATCTCCTAGTCCAACATGGCCTATTTAAAACATTACGGCCGGTATTGTACCAACAACTGGATCCATGGACAAATTTAAGCTCAAGCAGAGTGCACGAAATCAGTCGCCACATTTGCTACATACTAAAACGGAACACGACAATTTTTTCAATATAACACACCATTTAATCAATTATCTACAACCAGATGTGACGGTATGTGAAGCTCCCTCGTGAAAACATGTGAATGGATCTTACCCCGATCAACTCGATGGCCACCTGCGAAAGCTCCAATTGCCACCTATTCTGCTCTGTACCAGGGTTCTGATTGCCTGAATCGCGAATAAGCTCTGAAAGTTTTCTACCGACCTGAAATAACAAAACTAATCAGTGACATGCAAAGCTAGGATCAAAATACCCATCATTCAAAAGCACGCAAGCTCTACATTCAATATACAGTTACAAGACTGTCTTAAGACAGCTGCATTTAGGGCAACTTGTCAATAAAAAACAACTAGCAACAAAAGCACCTGATTGCCGTAATATAAGGATGCCTCACAACTTTACATTACCACTGTCCTGCTCACTTAAGTCGTGGAATTTCAAATCATTACAACCTGACTGCGCTCAAATTTACTCACATGAACACATACCATGTGACGTGCTCCATTTGCATTTGTATACACCAGTAGCAGTATAATCTCAGACATAACTAGACATATGAAAACTCATATGCACGTCAGCCAGAGACATGGGTGTACCCATTTCATATCATAACAGATTCCTTCTTATTTTGGGACTCCACGTTTCTGATTATACCTGCCTTTCTTTATGGCTTGGGTTGGAAAAAGTTACTATTCCACACCCACTCAAGGATAATTATTATTTTTCGATATCTTGCAAAGCTTTTATGTTTCATTCCAAATCTCAACTCTGAATCTATTTCTTCAGATAGCATGAGTTTCTTGAAATTTTTTGGTCTTGTGTCATTTCTAAGGGAGAAAGTTCAAGTTGATGTCAAACCGATTTTTTTCTTGAAAGTAAGTGTAAGCATAAAAGTTGGAAGTTAATATTACACTCTTTCAAGGATAAAGCAAAATTCGTGCGCATAGAAGTACACCCATAGAAAGAACAATCTGACAATCATTCTCCATTGACCAGAGTGGAACCATGAATAAAATCAAACCATTCTCAGATTTCCAAACTCACACAGTTAATGCATACTCATCTAGGCGGCATCCAAGCAAGACAAGTAAAACCATATGGACTCATGTTCAATTTTAGAACGAGGACAGAGTGACACAGATCATAGAAATCCAACTATAGTTTATCAGAAAGTGTAAATTGAATAACCACACCTAACTACACGCAAAAGATCATACTCCCACACGATCTGGACTTCAAAGAGTAGCTTGCAGACATATAATTTGATCATAATAGCTTGCATACATATATACATATATATATAAATAGCCCAAAGAATACCATCTAAGGACAACAAAATACTGACCTGAAGTTTAGTTAATATGTGTGCTATCGTATCATCTCTTGCTAAACCAAGCAACACTCTGCAGGCAAGAGCACGAATACAGTCAAGGGCACCAGGAGGGGTTACTATCCGTGATTGGAGAAGCTGAAGGAGGACCTTAATTCCATTGTTGGCACGAACAGCCTCTCTAGCTTGGCGATATCCTTGTTCAAGCTGAGCAGCAAGACCAGCAGATCCAGATCCAGTACCCAGAGAAATTCTACGATCTCCAACTAATCCTGAAGTCATGGTGGAAGCTTGGGCTTGAGCATTATTACTAGTAGAACCTATAACAGCAGAGGATCCTCGGTCTACTGAAGAAGGTTCTGCATTTCGAGGTTCGTTATTGCTTGTAATATTAACAGCTCGATCTGGAATACTTCGTTCCAAATTTTTCTCTCTGTTTTCTGAAGGAGCCGGAGGTTGTCCTTGTGTTGCACCTGGCGGTTTATTGCTAATTGAAGGGGGTGGGCACACTAGATTGACTAAGACATTCAATGCGGCTTGAATAATCTGCCAGAGAATCATGCATTAAAATTTGGTGGTTGCAGATACAGACGATTGATGCATAATTTAAGACTGTCCATTGCTGCAAAATTGGAGAACCGGAATAAGGAAAAGAAAGAAGGAAAGAGAGCATTTACCTCTGGTTCAGCATACCCAGCACCATTGGCAGCATCCAAAATGACTGCTATACCGACACGGTCATTGCTTAGAGTGGCGGACAACATTAGTTTCCGGCTATGTGGCATCAGTGTAACGATATGAAGCACACCCAGAGCATATTGAAGCAGATCATGCAAGTAACGCTCCACAGGTGGAGCCTACACCCGAAATAAATATATGGTTCATGCACAAACACATAATATGAAAAAACAACAGAACACAAATCTGAAAATATTTAATATACCTGACACAGTTCTAGCATTGTAATATGCCCATTCGAACTTAAGAACTTGTCCACGGCAGGCCATCTAGCCCGGACCAATGCAGGACCAAGTTTCCGATCTCTTTGTATCTGACGAAAAAACGCATCCAAAGCCTCATTGCTGATATCAAGTGGCTTGTAAGACGCTCTACTACTTGGAATATTCCTAGAAGCACCCCTGACATTCTTACTGGGACGAATGGAATCAACAATTAGGATAAGATGTGCTCTAAAATATTGTCGTAACGCAACACAGGTGTGATAAGCTATCTGCTTCTTGGAAGAGGTCAGCAACTCTCCAGGAGACTGGTCATTTCGAAGCGGTCCAGAATTATTTATTGACCCAGAGGTTATTCCTGATCTAACAGATGCTGCCTCGTGCAACAAATTTAGCAGTTTCTGTAGTCCTTCCTGAGCATCAAAAGTATCGATGACAGCTCTAAAAACAAATGCAGCAGCAAAAAATAATGCTGCATTTTTTCTGGCTTGATCCTGGGGACACTCAATAAGCTGAAGGGCTAACTCAACCACTTGATGCACAACACTCGCAGGAAGTGCACAAACACGCTCCATTATTCCCTATAAATAAAATATGACAAGTCAAATCAGTACACAGCAGAAAAATAGTGACACTCGGAACCTCACAAGTAATACAGGTCAGTAAGTGACATATTTTCCTACTAGACCAATTAAAACTTACAACATGCCAGTACCTGAAGGGAACCAATGGTAAACAAACACGAAGACAGGCCAAAATATGTCTGCTGAACTCGTGGGGCAACCAGTAACTTCTGCATGCCACCTCGATCCACAAACAAGGCAGCAAACTTCCGATGAGCAGCCAAAGCACAAATTAACTTGAGCACATCTGGTAACAGAAGTGAAACTTTTGATGCTTCCTTGGTTTTGGAACTCCGATGTAACAGTGCAAGACAGACATCAACACCTTTCTCGTGCAACACAGGTCCAAGAACTTCAACATACTCTCCCAATATCACTAGACACTGAATGCAAAATTTCTCTCTAAGCTTTGCAAGCGAATCACTATCCAGCAGAAAGAACTCATTCACATCCTCATCGCGCTCTAGTTCTTTAGCCTTTGCGTCTGTGGAATCGCCATCCACAGCAGTTGAACTCCTAACAGCAAACACAGACAATCAAGATGCAAGTACAAGGAAACATTTATCAGTATTGATCATTTATTACTTAACAAATCCCTCTTTCATGCATATCCATAAACTAACCTTGCAACTTCAACTGCATTAGCAGCATCAACAACGGTTGATGCAGCCCTAGAAGCAGCCAAAACTGCAGCATCTTCATCATTTGCCTTTCTGTATTCCTATCATCATGAAAAGTAACATGTCGGTAAGATGTCAAAATACATAAAAATAAATATACAAAGATATTAAGGCCCACCTCCAAAGCAGCAGTTTTAACAAGTTCTGCAGCAGCATCTCCAGCTGCTTTAATTGCTTCTGTGGGAGCATTGACCGCTCTGGCTTCGGCTTCAGCAGCTAAGACAGCCTTTCTTACCAAATCAACTATGTCTTTGGAACCTATTGTGCATCCCTGGAAACAGTCATCACTTAAATCTCTTTCCAATGACAAGACATCAGTACCAGTCCTTCCAAGGATCTTTTTTGTGTCGGCACCTTTTCTTAAATCTTGCATTTTGAGCAGACTCCTGTCCCTGATGTTGCGATTTTGACCTCCTAACCTAATACCAGAACCAGGAGAAGTTACAGTTTGTTCATTCTCTAAATGACCATCCTCTACTCTTCCCTTCCCTCTAAAACGTGCAGTTCCACGACCTGTCTTCCGTCGTGATTGCTCATCTCTAACACCTTCGTCATTTTCTTCATCCCTAGCGGATCTACCACCAAACTTTGACCTTACATCACGTGCATCTCTGGTGCTTTTCTCCTCACCTTCACCTTCTTGCTCATGCATCTCACTATCTAAAGTTATACTACCAGGAGGCTCTCCACCCACCCAATGACCTTCACGCAACTGCCTAACAAGGGATCTTTCATAATCCCCATCAGCAACTCGATCATCACGGCCACTATCCTCAAGCATACGAGGCATATCAGAATGAGAACTTCCTGTATCTGATGACGGTCGTATTCTTGCTCGAGCTTCTTCTCTACTTCTCACACAAACAGTTGCTGAAGAACCTTTACTGTCTAGCTGTGAGTTAGCATCTTTCTGAGTTGTGCCTGCCTCTCCAAGTACACGAAGGCGTAGATACCGCATTAGTTTCGCTGATAATCCAGATGTTAGCACGTCCTCCACCACTTGACCACCCCTACAATCATCAGCATGATTATGGCACCGCTGTTCAAATAACAAACCATGTAATAAATAACAGAAAATTCTCGGGAGCATACCCAGCCAAACATACAGCTAGAAGTCCGGTGGAATAGGTTCTCAACATGTCAGAGTCAGAGCACTTTGTTGCCCCTGATTCATCTTTCCAAATGTGATCATCATTTGAGTGCCCAGATGTCTCATCCATCACCCAAACCTTAATATTTTCCATCACAGCTTCCTCAAAAACATGTGGATACTGAAATCAAACGAGTACGAGAGTTAGGCAACCCAGAGAACCCATCCCACTAACCAATAGAAAAGTAAAAACATTTACAACATACCACAAATGTAAGGGAGCAGCTAAAAAGAAGCCGTGCAGCAGCTGCTCGCACAGAGACAGAATATCGACTTTCAGACAAAAATCTTGTTGATAACAAATCAAAAAATTCATCATTCTCCTGCAAGAAAGCCAAAACACTTCAGATGATTGTAGTCAATGTGCATAAAAGACGCCAAACTTGACACTTAGACAAAAAGGCATCATACACTAATTCAAACATGTAACAAGTTGAATAAAATAAATGACAAAAGGGGGAAAATTAGGGAGGTTGTAAGGGGTGGGGATCTGGCAATCCCCAACCCAAGCAATAAGTAAACAAATACAAAAGGAAGTAAGCTTCATCTAAACTTACCCGAAGAAGAACTCCTAGGCGTCCTATATTATGAGAAGACCGACCATTGCTTACAGAAGAGTGGCCAATTTCTTCCATATATCTGCACTAATCAATGAAATCAAAGTTTAAAAAGCCAAAAAAATATGGAACCAACCACTTAACTAAAACCTCAAAAAGAAAACTTGACACTCCATACTGCCCATGTAAGCTACAATAATTCAATCATGCATTCAGAATCAGGTTACTGTTCATGTCATTCTCCACTCTTCAACTTTTGCAATGAATTCTTCAACGCGAGTCCCCAAATTACTAAAAAAGTGATTGCATGGAAAAGCCCCAATTCTCAATGAGGAAATAAGAAATTCAACAAACACAAAGTTTTAAGGTATAATGTTTTCAAAGTAAAGACTCTTGCATGTCCATTTTGAGGATGTATCTCTCTCAACCTCCCTTTTTCTTTCTTTTACCAGGGGGTGTAGTTCAAAGTAGCTCAAAGTGATTGTATAGAAATTGCCCCAAATCATAATCAGGAAATAAAGTAATTCAACAAATAACAATTGAGATATAAATTTTCCAACATAGATAATCTAGCATTTCCCTTTTGAAGACAACATCTCTCTCTCTATCTCTCTCTAGCTCTCTTTATTTCCTTTTTCTTCTCTTTTCTTTTTTTTTTTTAATTTACTTTTTTATTATTATATTTTTTTTTTTTGTGCGGACCAGGTGTGTGGGTTGATAATGATGGTACCCAGGACAATCTATCTAATGTCTTAGGGAAATGATATTATCAGACGTTCAGGAATCTCTAATTAATAAAAACCAAAACAAATACAAATACCATAATACTACAAATACAATCCATCATCACATAAATCAACTTATTGACTCTCTCGATAAGGAACCAAAACACTGGAAAGAATGCGATAGAGATATAGCACATGCATTGTATATATATACATGGTAAATCATCAGAAGAAATTATGTTTCACAATTTTCAATAGCAATTAACATCTGCAATGAATGGCCAGAAATATCTCCATCAATGTTACAAGATTTGAAAAAAAACAGAAAAATAGGATTTAAACATGGATACAACTTGGGAAAATGTGCAATATTATCCGTGCACCGACAATTCCTTTGATGCCTTAAGCCGCAAAATTTAGTTGTTTCCAACTTTCTCAAATTTCAAGATCCAAAACCTGTTGTCCACTAAAAATCTAAGGCTTCATTTGCTTACATTTACGTTTAACATCTAATTGCAAAAAAAGGGGGTAAAAAAAAAGGAAATCAAAATGTCCTTTACTCTTTGTTTATATCAAAATTTTTTTAAAAGAAAATTAAAATCTTCAAATCCACATTGTTTCAAAGAATTTTCCATTGTTTTATTTCTCCTCCCTCAACCTTATTTCAATCCCAGCTAGTATCAGATAACAAGGGGAATACTTCATATCGTTTACTCGGTTTAGTTACCAAACCCCAATTTCCAATCAATCAAAGAGCCATATGGTTTCACATTTCTAAAAGTATGAATGTATTCTGGTACTGAACCATGACCAGGAAAAAAAATAATAAGAAAGGGAATTAAAAGTATTAAAGTCTTTGTCAGATTCCCAGCAGCGGAATAATATTTATTCAAAAAACAAAAAAAAAAAAAAACAGCGGAATAATATAGGGGAAACATAAAAGAACCACTATGCACAACCCTGGGGACTATACGTCACGGTCAAAGCACACTAAGAGACCACCTCTTCATAAGGTTTAACACTCACAGCAGCCAAATAACTGCTTTTAAGTCTCTCATCGAAATGAAGGTATCTGAAACTAGTCGATAATAGCATGTTCAGATCAAAATCATTGGTTAAAAACTATAGATCATTCTCTCAATATCAAAGCTCTCTTACCAAACATACGTCAGCCCTTCAATCAATATATAGTGAACACCACAAGAAAGAAATAATAAATAAAGAAAAACTAAAAAAATAAAATTCAAAATCCACTTAGAATTCCTCCAACACAATAGGACAAGACTAACATTGACACCTAAACCCAACAAAACCCAGAAACTTTCTACATAAAAATCCTGAACAGAAGAAACCATCACAGCTCTCAACAATTGTTGCAATAAAAAAAAAAAAAAAACCAACTCTAGCTGCAACTGAATAACCTCAAGAAAAACTCCGAAGCAGTGCTTCAAAAGGCCAGAATTTAACCAAACAATAAAGAGAAGAAATTATTTAGCTACCATCATAACCTAAGAGCACATACTGCGGCAACAGAAGAGGAGCTATGAAACTGAACAACAAAAACCCACCAAACATTAACATTCAAACCAGGACCAAGAAAACTTCTCCTAACATCAAACATTCATCAATTCACCACCACAAACAAAACACACAAGCAATCCCTCAACTAGGTGCACAAGCAGCGAAGACCACACGTACCTCGACTCCTGAGTTTCCAGAATAGAAGAGAGGGCATGGAGAGTACAAGGGCTAGGGTTATCTGAATTTGCCGTGATTTTGTCAACTAATTCTTGCGCTTTTGCTATCAAAACTTCGCTTTCATCTTCCCCTTCTTCTCCTCCTCCTCCTTCTCCTTCTCCTTCTCCGTGCTGAGAATCACCCTGTCCTTCACCAGCCACACTCTGCTCTTCGGGTGGAACCGCCGCCGCCGCCGCCGGCGGTGGTTGTGATGACAATTCCGATCGAGCTTCATCACCAACCCCGGAACCCTCCATTTTACACGTCTATAATAGAAGTTTCAGCAGAAAGGATCACCGGAAGAGGCTCGGCGGGAAGGTTCGACGGTGGTTCGGGAAGTATTCGTCGTTGAACCGAATTAATAAGAAGGCGGAGCTTTTCAGTTTTGGGAAAAAATGGGAAACGAGGAAAGAAGAGAGACGAAGAAAAGGGCATGAGAAATGAGCCCAAAAACAAAAAGAATGCTAGTTATTTTCATTATTTTATTTATTTTGGGATTTTAAAATTTTTTCTTTTTTTTTTTCGGGTTCAGAATACTGTTTGGGCCTCTCTGGGCTCTGCCCTGAAAGCTTGAGGAGATGTCCCTGGAAGGTTTCCTTTTTTTTTTTCTCTTCCACAGTCGGTTTTTCTTTATTCTATTTTGTTTTTTTTTTTTTTTTCCATTCTAAGGTTATTGAAATTTTTTTTTATCACATTGTATATTTTATCTTTTTTCAAGTCATTTCTCTTCCACATAAGCAGTGAAAAATATGGAAATCTATCTATATTTTGTGTTTATTTTTATAACTAAAAAAAAGAAAAAAAGGCATACTATACCTGAGACAAAAAACTTGATGCCAATTTAGAATTTTTAAGATAAAACTTATTAGCTCTCCATGAGTAAATTTTCTTAGCATTTTTACCACCAAAAAAATAAAATAAAACTAATGCTTATTTATTGACAGGATTTTCTCAAAATAAAAGAAATAATTAATGGTGTTACTAATCTAAAAAGAAATTTAAAAAAAGCTTAATTTATTCACAGTATTTTCTGTTAAAAAAAAGTAATCAATGTTGTAACTGTAAAAATCTATTACATAATAAATAAACAAATTCACTTATACAATTGTATAAATTATGACGGCATATGATTCACAAAAGTGCTTTGAAGCATAAATTAAAAATAAAGGTATTATTTGATTTGTGTTTCTCTGTGTATATTTGGAAATTTTTACATATTATTTGGTGTAATGTGAATGTAAAAAATGTTAAAACTAAAAACTAGCACGAACATATATTAAAAATAAAGGTATTAATTAATTTGTGTTTCTTTATGTATTATTTGGTGTAATGTAAATGTAAAAATGTTAAAACTAAAAACTGATAGAAATACATAAATACATCAATAAAAATTTTTTTTTTTTTGTTTTTATTTTAGTTTTTGGTAAAAGATGAATTATGTTGAATATAACCAAACTTTGACATACAACCACAGTCCAACTTCTATTCTACTATTTATCTACTCAATCTATATAATTGTATCCCTATTCTGTTTAAATAACATACTTCAGAAAAAATAGCCTTCCTACATAATTGTTGCATTTTCCATTTCACTTCCTGTTTAATACACTCAACTCTGTCTTCCACATTCCTTCTTTCCTGTTTAAATTTTCTTGCATTTCTCCCAATCCATACGTGGTGAATACATGCCATCACAGCTGCACTTGCTACTTTCATCTTCAATTTTCTGAATTTGCCTCCATTTATAACTCTGTCATAAACATGTTGTAGTGTTCTGCTCACAGCTTTAACTTCCAGCCATGCCATCGCTTCATCCAGCAGACTTGCAGAGTACCCGCATGTAAGAAACAAGTGATTTCTAGCCTCTACCATTGCTGCATTACATAGAATACAGTCCTTTTAGAGTTTTGGTATAGAGCCCCAAAAGGACTCCTCCGGTTAATAACGAAAGGGCCACATTCGAGTGCCTGCCTGACTCACGCTAGTACTAAATTACAGTTGATAGAATCAAGAACACAAATATTGGCTTTATTTATACTGTAAAATGGTGCCAATGATTACATAAAATAATAAAATGACAATCCTATATTTATTTTTGATACAGACTACTTTTCCATCAACTAAAGCCTTGAACAACAATACGCACATCTCGTTTCCACTATTCGATCCCATCAGTGTAAGGAAAACAAAATTAAAACGATGAGCTTATGCCAAGTAAGTTTTCGCTACATAAATCATAACAATTAAGATAGAAAAAACATGGCATAAATTCACAGTTAGCCAAACACAACACTTAGCATCAAGTCACACTTCATCTCAACAATTCAACATAAAAGAAAGGATACTACTGGTTCAATCTTTGCCGTAACGTCTCGTCAACCAACGCCCAACACTAGGTACCCCTCAATAAGGTAAATCTACAGATTACCAATCACTACCTTCTATTTTATCTAGCCGACGATCAGGTCCAATGCTGACCTCGTCGGTTTCGATTCCGTAGAAGGGGCGTCGACCCATTTCACTTACAAATAACACTTAACAACACGAACAGTAATACTTAGAAACAATTTCCCGAGGCGATCAAGTACACACTCGAGTTACACAAAACCAAGTATAGCACAACATATATAATAGCAAAATATTTAGTGAAACACTCATTTGAATTTATTAGTCACAAATAGCTTCCAACAGACAGTCTGTATAAATATTTGAATTTAAAAATTAATGTCAATAAGATAACATAGATTCTGCCAAACAAATACTAATTCATTTATTATTTGTATTTGATTCATAGCATCCTTGTTATTCACTTCTATCTATTTAATTTTCAATCCAATTAAAAGAACCCAAATCCTAAAGCTCAGATTGTGTGTTAAAAGAGTATTAAAGTTATGAAACTTTCGTGAAGATCCAAAAATACACAATACACGATGTAAATAAACAATGAAATATCAAATGGTTATTCATGTTAAGAAACCCAGAAGCAAAGCATTCTTTTTAATTGCCATCTATCTATGTATCTATATCTATATACCTATCTATCTTCTATATATCCAGCTATAAGAAAATCCAGTATAATCCCAAATGCTAATGTGTCACACTCTCCTTAATTCAATTCCCGCCTAAACCCTCATCAGTAAGTTATAGTTAAAAAATAATTTACTTACATTAGTTAATGGTAAAGGTAAACACGATTATCCTCAATGCGATGCTTCTCCTATGGATAACACAGAATTAAACCTAAGAGCGGCTTCTAAAGCTGCTCTTTCCCACGTCTCAATCACGTCTCTCAATCAAATATAAACAAAAGAAATCACTAACAATACTCCAAATACCAAATCCCTCAACAACAACGGACAAATTTTCCTCCTTAATCTTGGCCGCATCCCACGTCCGTTGTGCAGTTGCGAATTGAATTGAATCAATGAATAATTGATGAGAAATTGGTTGTGGATGTAAATCTGACAATCTCCTCGGCAAAAAGAATTCCAGCCGGAAAGGAGTTTTTGGTAGTCTTATTCTCCCAAGTTGCAAACTATGATACCATAGTCGCTGCTGCAATCGAAGAGTCGCAAGGAGTGACATCAGGGTTACATGCAAACTCTTTCCTTTTTTTCTTTTTATTTATTTTTTCTTTTTTGATAATCGTTTGCATGAAGAGTCTATCTTTGTTGTTCAATTTACATGTGGTTGTTTATAAACCCGAAAAGATTGACTGTTTTCTTCCTGTGGCTGAAAAATTTGATTCCGGAAGTTGATTTCATTAGTTTGTGGTGAAGTCGAAAGAAGACCAAACAAAGATGACCTTCAGACCGATGAAGACGATGTTGACGCTTTGGGTTTTTTAGATGGTGAGGGGGAGGGTGATGGTAATGAGAACCAGAGAGTGTAACCACTAGCATTCGTTAGCAGTAATTGGAGTTCAACCTCGTACTAGATCAGATAGTTCTATCCAATTTGATAGTAACCCTTCAGAGTTTTCGGGTACATCCTTACAAAGATTTTCGAGCAGCTTATCCTTGGTTAGTTCATGCCTTCATGGTAATTTTCATAGACATGGCAAAAATTCAATGTTTTACATCTCATTTATAGGCCCTCAAGATAAAGAATCATATGAGGACGTTGCAGCACATCTCTGGTTGGTTTTTGCAATGAAAAGTATTTCTGGCAAAGTTTCATTCTTGTATTGTATTATTAATGTCTATGTCCAAGAGCTTTTTTCGATCTATATTTTTCTTTGGGAATATCTACATTTTTTTTATCAGATAACTTTCTTGAATAAGCATTTAATCTGTCTCCTTAGTAGATTTCTTCCTGTCCAATGATAAACTATTCAGATTCATATGTTGGGAACTTTCTCTTTTTAATATCGAAGCCACTCGAGGATCGTTGTCGCAACAAATGATCAGATGATTCTTTTAACCTTGATTTGGGAGCAAGGAGGTCACATGGTGGCTGCAAAGGCGGTTCAAAATTAGAGTCCTCTTATAAGAGGAAGCATTTATATTCATGTGTCCTTATAAGAGGCATATATAAGTCTGAATTCAAGGGATTAAAGTTTGTATGTATTGCAAACTTCTTAACTCAGATTTAGATGAACACTTATTTTCAATAGAAGTACATAAATTTTTTTTTACCTCTTAATCTATTCTTACGTCAGTTTTTTCTTCTTTTTTTTTGGTGTTTTGTATTTTCATTTCATTGTAATTATAATTTGAATCTGACTACTATAGTTAGTAGTATGTATGTAAATTAATTTTATGGTACATGACAATCATAAAAATACATAACACACTCATCAAACTTTTATCTCCTTTATTGATTTTTTTTCTTAAATGGAAATAATAAATATTAGTCAACTTGTGCATTTTCATACCCGTGCGAATCAAGAACCTAGTTTAAATTAACAAACTGAAAATTCTAGCCAAGTATTTCCTCAATGAAACCACAAAGAAAATCACAAAAGAGTTACTACACTCCACCAAAACTTTCTGTTTATTAATTATAGACATCACCCCTCATCGTCCAAATCCCCCTAGAAATAGCCCCCTTTTTTGTTATTATTATATTATTATTTTTCCTTTGTTTTCTCTTTCCCCGTTGACCGCAAATAAACCCTCATCGTCCAAATCCCCCTAGTAATAGCCCCCTTTTTTGTTATTATTATATTATTATTTTTCCTTTGTTTTCTCTTTCCCCGTTGACCGCAAATAAAAATAAATAAATAAACTAACACATATTCAATCCAAACTGTAAGCCATGTTTTTCCCATCTTTTCCAATTAAAATCCAACTCTCAAAACAAAATCATATTTAATCATTAAAAGTAAAGTAAAATGTAAATGAAAGAAAATATAATCAAAGCTATGATATTAAACTTACAGTGGTAAAGTAGACTTCAGATCCGGGAAATTTTCTTCCTTAAACTAACCCTTTATATAAGTATATTTATTGAAAAGGACAAATCTAAGGATCTAATTTACTGCGCCTCCAAGATCCAAGCAAAAGTTACCTCTTTCTACATCGTTAGTCGACCTTTCTTTGCATCTATTCCTTTTTCCGACTGCAATTTTTGATGTTGAGAGCATGTATACATACAAGGTGAGAAAGCTTATCTGATATAGGGTAACAAGGGTAGTGTTTTCTGGTGAAGGTTAAAGTGAACAAGGTACTCACTTGGGATTATTACATCTGGAACTCCAGATGTACGTTTATCCTCTTCTTTCTTTCTTTTTTTCTTTTAATTAATTAATTTATTTATAATGAAGGCTCCAACTTTACTTTTTTGTATTCTCTTCCCTTAAAGTTTGATCTTAATCTTCACAAAACCTGTAACTTTCCTTTCTTTACAGGTTAGCCCACCTATGATCCTAATATTGTATAGGAAGTTTTTTTATTTAAATATGTAAATTAGAATTATTAAAATAAGTGGGCCTTACATTCTTCCCCCCTTTAGCAAATTTCGTCCTCGAAATTCCCGAACAATTCCGGATAGTTATTCTTCATTTCTTCCTATATTTTCCACGTGGCCTCTTCCAAGCCATGGTGCGACCAAAGTACTTTCACAAGAGTAATTGTTTTAGTTCTCAAAATCTTCTGTTGACGATCCAAAATTTTGATTGGCTTCTCTTCGTATGAAAGATGATCGTCAATTTCCAACTCCTCAGATTGGATGATATAGCTAGGGTAAGGATGATATTTCTTAAGGAGTGACACATGAAACACATTATGCATTTTGGTCAAACTCGCGGGCAGTTCTCGGGCTCAACTTCCCCTTCTTCCCGTTATGGACTATTCCGGTATGCGGGGTCAGTTTGAGAAATACTTTATTACCCACTTCAAATTCAATATCTTTTCTTTGGTTGTCAGCATAGCTCTTTTGTCTACTTTGCGCAGTGTGCAACCGTTGTCGGATCAGCTTTACTTTTTCTTGCGCATCGGTTACCCAAGGAATGATCTGTGATGGTGTTATCCTTCTTTCCCCAACATCATCCCAAAAGATTGGAGATCTGTATTTACGCCCATACAGTGCCTTGTACGGGGCCATTCCGATAGAGGTATGGTAGCTATTATTGTATGAAAATTCCACTAAAGTAAGGTAACTATCCCAGTTGCCACCAAAATCTAGTACGCAAGCTCTTAACATGTCTTCTAGAGTTTCGATAGTTCTTTCGGATTGGCCATCAGCTCGGGGATGGGAGGGAGTACTAAAATTCAATTTAGCACCTATAGCATGTTGTACTTGTGTCACATTCGGGAGGTAAATCGTGGATATCTCCCAGACACTATCCTCGTCGGAAATTCATGTAGGCGGATCACCTCATATATAATTGTGACAAACCTCTCCTGTGAGTATCTCACATTGATGGGTAGAAAATATGCCGACTTAGTCAATCGGCCCACTATAACCCATATGGCATCGTGATTCTTCTGTGTTCTGGGTTACCCAACAATGAAATCCATAGTTATATGCTCCCACTTTCACACTAGTATTTCCAAGGGTTGAAACAATCCTCTTCTGATTTTCTATTTTTACCTTTTGGCAGTTAAGACATGTTGAAACATATTCTGCAATATCTCTTGTCATGTTGTCCCAACAAAGTCTCTGCTTTAAACCTTTGTACATCTTGTTACCACCTGGGTGCACAGACTTACTTTTATGGGCTTCGTCCATAATCTCTTTCTTTATATCAGCATCTCGGGGAATAAATAAACGACCCTAATATCTCAAAACTCCTTCACTATCAAGTTCATAACTCAGAATCTCTCCTTTGGATGCTTTCTCTCGGTGCTTCTGCAACGTTGAATCTTTTTCTTGCGCCTCTCTAATCTGTTTAACCCAAGTGGCATGGATGTTGATATTAGCAAATATGATTTTTGTTCCTTCAACTTGAGGTTTCCACTGTTCAACATCTTCTATCATTTCTGTCTCTTTAATCATTATCCTAGCAATCTGGGTGTTTTGACTAAGAGCATCAGCAACTACATTTGCTCTTCCTGGTTGATAACATATGTCGCAATCATTATCTTTCAATGTCCACCGTCTCTGGCACATGTTCAATTCTTTCTGGGAGAACAAATATTTCAAATTCTTGTGATCAGTGAGAATTTCAAATTTGACACCATACAGATAATGACACCATTTCTTTAGAACAAACACTACAGATGCTAGCTCTAAATCATGAGTAGGGTAGTTCTGTTCATATGTTTTTAGCTTACGAGATGCATAAGCTATAACCTTTCCTTCCTGCATTAGTACGCAACCTAGCCCGTCTTTTGAGGCGTCAGTATAAGCCACAAATTAATCTCTACCGTTGGGAAGTGCAAATATAGGTGCAGTGGTTAATCTTTTCTTAATTCTTGAAATCCCACTTCTGTTTTACATTCCATTCAAACTTTGCTTGTTTCCGAGTTAATTGGGTTTACGGCACTGCCAATTTTGAAAAATCTTTAACAAAGCGGCGATAGTACCCTGCCAAACCCAAGAAACTCCGGATCTCACTTGCATTTTCTGGTCGCTTCCAGTTTAGTACTGCTTCCACCTTAGATGGGTCTACCATTATTCCTTTCTTTGATACCACATGTCCAAGAAAGACCACTTTTTCCAGCCAAAACTCTTACTTGGTAAACTTAGCGTACCAACAGTGGTCTTTCAAGACTTGTAAAATTGCTTGCAAATGTTCCTTATGTTCATGAGGTGTTTTAGAGTACACAAGGATATCATCTATAAAGATTACCCCAAATTGGTCTAAATAGGGTCGGAATACCTGATGCATTAAATCCATGAAAGCGACTGGGGCATTTGTTAACCCGAATGACATAACTACAAATTCATAGTGCCCATACCTGGTATTGAATGCCGTCTTGGGGGTATCTTCTTTATTGATCCTTAATTGATAATACCCTTGTCTAAGATCAAATTTAGAGAACACAGTTGCCCCTTGCAATTGATCAAACAACTCATCAATGAGAGGCAAAGGGTATTTGTTCAGGTGAAATTATTAAGCCCTCGATAGTCAATACACATTCTTAAGGTTCCGTCCTTTTTCTTCACAAACAACACTGGAGCTCCCCAGGGAGATGTGCTTGGCTGAATGAATCCTCGTGAAAGAATGTCTTGAAGTTGTAACTTTAGTTCCTTTAACTCCACAGGAGCCATCCGATATGGAGTTCTTGAGATTGGTACAGCCCTCAGAACTAGGTCGATAGTAAACTCAATCTCCCTTTCTGGTGGCAAAGCTTCTAATTCTTTCGGAAATACCTCCGGGTATTCGCTAACCACTGGAACTTTCTCTATCTTCACTTTCTCTTGAGGTTTATTCATGATATATGCAATGTATCCACTGGCTCCCTTGAACATCTATTTCCGAGCTTTAATCCCAAAAATCAAAGCTGCCGATGCTAATCTCCCTTTTACACTCACTTCAGCTACGACCAGGCATGCACAGTTTTACCATCTTAGATCGACAATCAAGTTGGGCATAAAATTTGGACAACCAATCCGTCCCTATTATCACTTCGTATCCCCGAATAGGAAAAATTATCAAATTTATAGGGTAGTTTTCCAGTTTACACCCTTTGTATATCTTATTAGTTAGCAATATCTGGTCATTAATAGAAGTGCTAACTTCCAGAGTAAAAGACAAATTTTCAGGGGATTGAGCAATGCCTTTAATAAAGCTAGGTGCAACAAAAGAATGTGACGAGCCCGGGTCAAAGAGTATTTCAGCGAAACGGTCCAGAATTGGAAGCGTACCTTCAATCACTTTATTTGAGTTTGGAGTTTATTGATCATTGATGGCATATACTTGGGCTTGCACCCTAGGCCGTCTTGCACTTGTCTTTGACTTTTTCTGTGGGATAGTATCTTTCTTCAGCTGCGGGCACTCCGAGATTCCATGTTATGAACTTCCACATTTTAAACATTTATTTTAATTCAACAAGCAATCTTTTTCTTCATGGTTCCCCTTCTTGCAAAAATTGTAACGCAAGGTGCAGGTAAGTGCATTTTTAGGTCGATGATTGCCCGTTGCCTTTGACGACTTGGTTGGAGCCACAAAAGCTCTTTTAGCTTGATTTCCACCTATCTGGCATCGAATATGGAGATCTCAAAGTCTAGCCATAGTACCCTCAACCCTCATGGCTGTCTCAACTGCTTGAATATAGCTAACTTGATGGGAATGCGCCAGTGCATCTTGTAACTCTATGCGTAAACCTTGTACGAATCGCCTCTTGCGTTTTTCATCTGTAGCTACCATTTTCGGGGGCATATTTGCTGAGCTTAGAAAACCTTGCTTCATATTTGGAAACAAACATGGCTCCTTGTTTAAGGTTAATAAATTCTTCCTCTTTTTTCTCCCCGAACTAACTCGCAAATATAATTTTTTCCAAAATTCCTATTCAAAAGCTTCCCAGGTTTTTGGGGTTCCTTCAAAATCCCACTTCTGTCAAATTATATTCCACCAACTTTTTGCAGGATCACGTAGTTGAAACTCAGCAAATTTGATCTTTCTTTCTTGAGTAATCTAACGCCTTATAAATGTTGGTTATGCTTTCCAACCAGCATTCTGCTTCATCAGTGTCATTTCCTCTATAAAACAGTGGTGGGTTGAATTTCTGAAAACGTTCCAGAGCAACGTCTTCCCTATTGGTGTTTCTCTGCTCTGGTTTAATGCTTTGTAATGGGAAATTTGTTGTGACATAACCTAGATAGCCTCTGCTATGGTGCTAGCAAAGTGTTCAAGTCCCCCAATGGAATTATTTGATCCACTTTCTTGCTCCGGTGTATTTGAGTCCATCCTTACTTAAATATTTACTCCTATGTATTACCTAAAAAAAATGAATGAATGTATGCTTTAGTAGAACATAAATTTAAATTGATATTTTAGTAAAAGTATAAATTAAAATGCATGCTTTAGTAAAAAAAACATAAATTCAGAAGACAAGATATACTGAACACTAGCAATTAGAGATATTTACTTATACACATATTATGCATCTTAGGCCATTCACGGCATATTCAAAAGTTGGGCCTTAGTGTGCATCTATAATTCCTCCCAAAAGCCTTATGCTAAACCACATGCACACTACACTGGTTCCTACTATTATGAACCAATTTAATATTGGGGTAAGTAAAACTATACAATCTTCCCCCAATGTCAACAAAATAAATTTAAGGCCTTACATAACTTAGTTAATTTATCTAATAATCTCATCATTAAGGTCAAACACGGAAACCAGCAATATCATGATCCCCAATAGACTCCCCTGGCTGCATCGGTGGTGGTGATTGCTGAAATTCGGAGAGACTATTTAAAGCATTAGCCATGACTTTTTTTCATTTCATCACAACTATGCATACCATCTTTTAGAGACTCTCTTGTGATCTGGAGGGCTATGTCTCTATTGGGTTTCAACATTTGAATATGCTCCTGTACCCTATTAAGTTCCATTTCATTTTTCAAAAGCATCTTAGTCATAGACTCACTGTTCAAGAAGAGCATTATTTTCTTGAATTATTCCAAGTAGTTGATTCTTTTCCTGCTCTTGACGTAAAGCTTCAGGCATATTAGCTATCTCATGCTCTAGTTCCTTCACCTTATTAAAAAAAAGATCCATTTTCTAACACCACAGCCTGCACCACTTCATTATGGAAAGAGTATAAAAAGTGACATTGACATT